AAACAAAGATGTAAGTGAAAAATAAAATTAAAAATAATTAAAGAAAAGAAAAGAAGAAGTTTCATCTAGATAATGTGTATAGTGTATATATAGGATATGTGTTTTAAAGATGTTATAAATGTTATTCTGCAAGAACTATAAACATATATAAAAATGGATTTTACTTTTAAACGAGAATGTTGAAATATTCAAGATATAAAGAAGGGTAATTCATTCATTCATTCATCATCTATTACTATTAGAGAGTGTGCGTGAGTTTTGATTATAGAATTAGAATGAGATTGATTGATATATAGGTCTTTAGATTTTCAACGGATTTTTTTCTTTTCTTTCTTTAATAATATGAAATTAATTCTAGAATATCATATTTTTTTGAAAAAAATTATATATATTTATATATTAATTATTTCAAATAATGTTATTTCTTTTTCCTATAAACATATACTCATCCAAACACACATATACATATACAAAAAGGCTCATACCTAAATGTGGTACCTCAACAACCATCTTCAAAACACGACATTATAACAAAATCAATGTCTCATCCTTTGAAACAAAAATTTTCCCCGCGTTTACTAGCAAAATACCCTCAATCCGATTATCCCGACGAAGATAGTTTTCCCTCTTATATACCTATGGTTCGTTATGGTTTGATTTGATAATAATAATAATAATAATAATAAGTATTATAGTAATAACAAGTTTTTTTTTTTACTAATAATAGTTTTGCTTTCCAAATGATATAATGATCAAAGAAAGCGAAGATTGTCCACCAGCAACTTTTCATGGATTTGTAATTAATTATTTATATATTTTTTTTATTTGCGAGAAATTAATTAAAAAAAAAATTAATTATAATTTTTTTTCAGGTAATGACTCAAGAAGATGGTTCAAAACGTTATGGTGTCTGTTTAACAACTTATTATGCACCTTTACCAGATCATCTTATCGAAGAGCTTGAGGTTTTACATAAGAAATGGTGCGAGGCAAACATGGTATTTGAAATATTGTATTGTGTGTCTGATTTTTTTGTTGATTATTATAAGG